GCACTGCAGCAGACATTGCTCGTGTGAAATATTACAGAAACACTGTGTACGCTCATGCCGAGCGTACTTCAGTTGATGAAGCGGAATTCAAAAAATACTGGTCTGACATCCGGGCCGCTCTAGTGAGACTGGGAGGTACTAAGTATCAGAAAGAGATTGAAAATCTTGAAACTGCTTGCATGGACCCTGAAACTGAAGATAAATACAAAGACCTTCTTGAAGAATGGCAGAAGAATGAAGAAGGTATCACGTATAGACTGGACAAGTTGGGAAACCAAATCGGGACTATCAAAAACTATCTATCGAAACTATCGAATAAAGTATTTGACAATGGTATGTTGATTGTCTCTCTCTAATTATTCTGATAATTATTTTGATAAATTAGGTAAAACATTTTTGTTATTATTATACCGATATTAATGCAGTACTAGGAATTCTCCCGTTTCAAAAATATGATATCTTCACCAGATAGTGAACAAACTATCCATATTTTAAGATGGAAAGATACGAAGGTCGTCAAGGAAACTGAGTTTACCAGCATCATTTTTGTGAGCGAGGATGAATAAGCGTCTTCTGAAACCAGACGATCTTTCTTAAGTTACCAAGAATCATTTGAGTAGCTCCTCCGAGGGGGGAGAAGCAAGGGGGGTGGGGTAATAATCATTCCATTCTAGTGGAGATACCTCTCAAGAGGGATTCGAATGGTCTTTCCGAATAAAAACCAAGAATAAAAACCCTCCCATTGTAAATTTGATAGCGCTACGCTACCTTTTAACGAATGTCATTATATCGTTCCCTTTGCACTCAGATAGATTTATGTTGCAATTCTTAACATTACAACAAACCACGTCCTAAAAGGAAATACAAGTACATTAATCCCTCAAGCCGACCAATTTATATCTTGAATTTAAGGATTTTGGATGGGCCTGTAACTATAATCTGTGTTTTTTCTCTGTATTTAGGAACCGAACCTGTCGAGCCACCAGCTCTTGATTTTTACTGTGAGAAATGCAAGGTGTGCATTTCCGCCCAGGATAGAAAAAGTAATCACATTGATCACACTACAATGACAAAACGACAGGCTGCAGATAGACAAAAGCCAAAGATAAAAGAAGCTATGAAGAAAATGGAAGAGAAAATTCGTGTTTATGAGGTGAAGGTGGAAGAAGCAGGCGACCAGTTGACACGAAGTCAAAGAGACATTGAAAAAGCCCGAGGAGTGGTAGCGAAGACTGTTGAATCTCTCATACAGATGTTACAGGATCACAAAAAGGACACGGAGAACATTTTGAACGATATTGAAGAAGTTCACAAAAAACACAACGAACACTTAAAGCAGTCTCGCGAGCGGTTAAAAACCAAATCAGAAGAATTACAAGCCACCTTAAACAAAAACGACGCTGATGAAATTTTAGAAACTTGTCAATCTGTCGATGAATATGGCAAAGATCTCTGCGATGCTGGCAGAAGTCATCATAAAAAACGGGCGCTGAATGTCAGGTACGAGACAAACGATGAAGATATTCAAAGAATAAAATGCGCAATCCTGGGCCGAGTCGTAAGTGACGACAATTCAACGACTGTCTACTCAGTGGTAGAGAGAGAAGGCCTGCAAGGAGTAGAAATCGGAAGAGCGTCTTCCCTCAAAATCCTGACCCGAGATGCAAATCAAAAACAGGTTTACAACGCGGACGATAAGATAGAAGTGAAAATCCAGACTCCTCTTGGAAAGGATCTCAGCACTGAGATTATAAACAATAAAAATGGTTCATACATCGTGTCCTATACACCTGACTGCGACGGACAACACGAAATATCGATCGCTGTCAATGGAAACCCCCTTCCTTTAAGTCCCTGGCGTGTTCACGTGACTCCACATCAATACGAAATTGGATCAGTTTTCGGGAGAACTGGTAAAGCCACAGGAGAATTTGATGGACCTTGTGACATTGCAATCAACGAACAGACAGGGGACATTGCCGTTGCTGATGCTAAGAACAACAGGGTACAATTGTTCAGCTCCAATGGACACTTCACCAAAGAGATAAGTAAATCTGGCTGTGGTGGAAAGGAACTGAATTCTCCTACTTCCGTGGGATTCACCAATTCTGGTGACATCGTCATCATCGCTAGCGGTGATATTTATTTCTTCAATAACGATGATGACAGTCTCACAAAAGCTTCCAAAAAACTCGCGAAAGATCCAAGATTCTTGTCTGTCAGTGGCGATAAGAATCTGATCTTGTGTGACTGGAGCGATAACACAGTAAAGGTCCTCTCCCCTGACGGTACAAAATTGATGATGAAGCCATTCAAAGATCGCCTGGTGAATGATCCTCCATGGTTCGCTATTAGTCACCAAGAGAGGTTCTTCGTTTGTTACGGCTTGAATCATGTAGTCAAAGTGTTCAACAAGGATGGATGGTTTCAGTACAGTATTGGTGGCGTGGGCTGTGGTGACGGACAAATGAGTTATCCTACTGGAATTACCATTGACAAGTTCAACAACTTGATCGTGTGTGACCCCAGCAACCACAGGCTGCTTGTGTTCTCACTGGATGGAAAGTTTGTCAACTCAGTACCTGGACTGGAGTGCCCTGGAACAGTTGCTGCTTCATCTACTGGGCAGCTTTTTGTAACAGACTTTACCAAAAACTGTATTCATGTCTTACACTGAAGAAGATGGTAAACTCAAGACTCAGTCATTTTGTAGCAAAAGTGACTCTTGACCTTATTATTAGTCCATGATTTTCGAGGGATGAAGCTACAAGTCAGCATTCAAAGCTAATTAGTTGAAATAGAGACAAGCCTTCTGATTGTTTCAGAAAAACTCTTAAGTATTTTTATTTGCAAATATTTCATTTAGTGTTTTGATAAAATTTAGTAACTTTTCGTTGGAAATTGCCAGATAGCTGGTACATAAGCAGGATTTCAATAATAGATGACATATTCGTGAAAGAACTTTTATCTATGTTTAAAACTTTTGTGATTTTATCCTTTTATCGGGACCCTTCGTCACTGAAGTTCCCTGCAGCGGCGGTCGGCGGGCCAAAGCCGACTTTACCACCTTATCATTTGACTCATTTCGCCCGCTATGTCAATTCAGCGACTAAATTACGATGTTTTACAGGCTTTATTACCTCGTATAGCAACGTGCATATCATTATTTACAAAATGTATAGGGTAACTTATTGAACTTTAAAACGCCTTAAAATACAAGTTTGGTCGAGTAGATAAACTCTGAAGAAATATAAATATAACACAAAAAGTAGCAGAGATATTAAACGATGGGAAAGATTAAAACGGATTTTGCATGACCGCTCTGAAAAGTATAGGCATAGTTTTTTAAGATTGATAATCGGGACCTAAATTAATTAGGCCAGGGTAAGAAACATCTATTCAATTTACAAGAGCAGTCAATAACTAAATGGTATGAAAAAGATAAATTGATTTCCTTTTAAGTATAGACTGATGATGATGCCACCGTAAATACAAGTTTCTGAATCAATCAAATTCACAAGTTCATATAAGGAGATATATTCTAAGGTACATTTGTCATGAAAGTCTTTGATATATAATCGTTTTTAGGCGAGAGTAAATTGGTGAGAAAAACTGGAAGACGAGTGTTTTTTCAACCGTGAATTGTTTCCGATATTGATCGACTTTTAATCAATTAAATGCGAGTGTTTAAGGCAGCTGTTAAGGGAATAGTATTAATGAGGTTGTGCTGAATAATCTTTGCAAGAACAGCATGGCTGCGAGGCAAAGCAAAGGAGGCATATTCTAGCTGATCTAGTCAACAAAGTTTTCGATATTCAATCAAATGTACAAAGACTGATCGTAGACTTCGAGTAATCTTTTATTAAGTCATTTTCTTAAGATGCTGTAAGGTATAATTTTAATATATAGGTAATGCTTTAAAATACCTTAAGATATTACAGGAAAAAGGTCAAACCTATACAGCGAATTTTGTGTTGAATTCAAACACGGCTCTCAATAGGACTGAGTTGGTTGTTTGTGGCGGATTATCTTATCTCGGGGCAAGAGATAAGAGGGAAGGAGGAACAAAGGATAAAGGATAAAACTGAAAGAGCACTCCTATAGACTGATTTATATATTCCACGTAAACATGATCGGCTGTTACTGATCAGGATTCTTATACCATATTATCCAAATAATGTAATTGTTAAACCAAAGCGCATGAAATATTTTTGCAAAAGGTTGAAAGGCTATCTGTTAGGTCTGTACTTGTAAAAGATCGATTCCGTCTGTTTTAAATAGCACAGGATATCTTTGCATTGATTTGTGTAAGTTACGTTGCGTGACGCACTTTGTGACGCTGGAAAACAGAAAATTATAGAACATGTCTTGGAGAGTCTGGGAACGAAGCTTAAATGACACTTGAGCTACGTGAATGTATTTTCGATATCGTCACCGCATCAGTTCATGAAGACGTAAAGAAAGGGTTGATCTTCTCATAGTCTCTTTTATTCGTTTGTTACATTTTCTGAGATCGCAGGTTTGTACTTCAATTTTTCTATACTTAGAGTTAAGCTTTTCTCATAATCCACAACAGCTATGAGGAGTGGTAAGAGTGATACCTCCAATTCCTTCAATAGTCACGCATCTGTAGGCTTACGAGAAAGGTTTGGCTTATATTTCCCTTTTTAATCAATCAGCGATCTTAGTACCCCTTTAATTTTATTGAAAATCATTAGACATGCAAGACGAGCGCGTTTACCTCGAATGAAATATCTTGAGCCAAGAGAAAGCTTAGTTAACTCTCGATAACTCGTCGCTTCTGTC